AAATTATGGCTCATCAACAAAACCAGACGAGTGTCAGACCTTGCGCAATCAGAGTGATGGTCATAACATATATGCAGAAAGGGGGAGATAGTGATCATCAAATCTTGATGGCCGAGAACAGACATTACTTTTACTATCCTAATTACTTTTGGCCATCACTGCGGGTTTCGTGCATAAGTCAACTCAGACAGGCACATACGCCTATAGAGGCAGACACACTCACAGGCTTTAAAGTTGACAAATAACCGTAACTAACCAAATCACTTTATACTTGATCAGAGGCCAGATGTAGAGTATGTATACCACCTTTTAGGGATTTGCCGGTGAGTTGTCTTGACTCGCTAGCTTGAATTTAGTTGTGATGATGATAACTTTCCTTGATAATTTTCGTCATATTGCAGACGAGAGCTTAGCACTTTTTTACCGGAATCGAAGAAGATTACCTCCGAAACAGCGCCAGCATAAATGTTCTAGTGAAGCCAATCGACAGCTGGTCAAGAGGAATCCGCTGTCGTCTTCTGGTGGAACCAACCTTCGAATCTCATCACCCAACACTTTCACTCGAAATGGAAGTAAGCTCAACAGTTATGAAACAAGAGATTCCTCAAAACCCAAATTTTGTTCACAAGAAGATGAGAGTTAAAGCTTGTGTAGTTTTATGGCTACATCCTCCATAATCTGTAGGAGAAAATGGTGTCCATGAAATTTAACAATTCTGAATGTCTGATAAGTTTAATTACGGTGTCATGTCTCCATAATTAGCTTTATAATCTTATTACCGAACAGCATTATCCCTCCTATTCATGAACTATTTTAAAATGCGCCCCCTTAAACTGCTACACGTAAAATTGCTGCATATACAATTTTATGCGAACAAGAAGAATTCAAGTAGATGATCGTGAAAAAATGGTAAGAATTCGAGGTTTATGTTGATACTCCAAAAGCTAAGTTATTGATGCACGTATAAGAATAAAGAGTCGTTACAGTTCCTGATCCTTATGTCTTGTTGACAAGACTTTGCTTTCGACTATTTTAGGTTTAGTCATTAAGCTAAGGAGAACAAATACGAGATGAAGATATCATACTTACTATCCATATTCGGAAGATACTTGGCTCCTGGAAAAATAACAGAAGTCAAATAAGAGTTCGAACCTAGAAATCCAAATATGCTCCCTGTAATGGCGGCTGAAGGTATAGGACTAAACAATTCTAAGTAATGCTTTAAGAAAACTCATACTCTCGACCTTGCCGAGTCCTGTAATAGTCAGTGTACCTTGCTGCCATGTTCCAATTTTTAGGGAAGAAACCATACTTCAAATAGCCTTTTATCTCACCTTTTCTGGCTTGTTCTGAGATATCGTTGAATCTCTCGTAGGCTTTAATCTGAGACTGCTCTGCAGTGGCAAGTGTCGCTATGGCTGTAACCGCCGAACCAGCTGTCGCCGAAGACATAGAGGCGGCTACAGCAGCTGCTGCGGCACTGGCAACGTTCTGGCCGCCACTGCTGACGCTACCACCACCAGCAGCAGCAGCCTGAGCATTGGCCCTTATGCGCACCTTGTCCAGCGTACGATTAGCATTCTCATAATCTGCTAAAGCCCGTGCACGCCGGTATAATAGTTGTTTGGCGGCGCCAGAGTCTGCAGTGTAGTAGCGAAGAGTGTCGGACAGTTTTAAATCCTCATCGGCCGACACAAGCACTTCTAGTTTCTGCCAGTAGCAATAGTAGGCAATTTAAACAAAAGAAATGACGTAAGACATGTCATTTTGCCTGATTCATAATGCATAAACTATAAATGAAAATACTAAGACCGAAGGTACATCACTGACCATTCGAGGATTGAGCGTGAGACCGTTCTCGGCTAGAGCAAAAAATGAATTCACTGCAAATTATTATCATCGTTCTTTACATTTCAAAAGTTGTTTAATATTTAAAATAAACAAGATTAGAGCCTATAAAAAGTGGTTTGACCACGTCTTCACAACTTGGTCGATTTGTTAGGAGGACCGAGATGAACGCAACACAACCAAAGTTGTGTCAAAGTATCCATAATAATTTCCACTTGCCTCTTCAAACGAAATGAAAGATACTCCAACATCAATCTATTAAGGGAGTCTTCGAAATCCAGTTTTCCTACATACTCTTCTTTAAGCCTCTGATAGAATATATACTTCACTCTCGTCGAGCAGGCCTCCAGAGCCTAGATTCTCCAGGTGGATGAAAAACTATCTTAAAGATGAAGAATTCCTTATCACCGTTGAGAATTTGCAACGAGTAAAGCTCATACACTTATATACAACGAAAGGAAACCATGCTTATACTATAGGCCACAACATCTTGATCTTCACAGCTTTTATTAAAATTAGACCATGCATGGGTATTTTTGACATAACTTGTAATATACTGTTATATTTTATTAGCATTTATACTATAAACAAGAATTAAGTTTCAATATATTAAAGAAAAACAAATGAAGCAATTCATCTCTCATAATTGCAAGTAGAAAGATACAACGGCTTGCCTTCGCCACAAAACAAGACTAATCAAACACTGTCACATGAAAAATCAAGGTAGAGCTTTCTGACAAATAAAACAGTGTCCATCAAGATGCATAAACAAATACTAGATAAACTGAATCTATCGTCAAGAATGTGCTGCGAAATAAAGCTAAAAATACATAGCCAAATAAGTGAATCAGCCGCAAGAGACTAAATGATCTGGCACAGCTAACATTTTTCAGAATATGAATTTTTAAGGCGAAGTAACAAGTTTTAGAAATAAATTATTTTAAGAGACACACAGCTAATGACCAAGTGGTTAGGTTCTGATAAGACTTTGTATATGTAAAAGTCGAGAACAATTAATTGGAAGGCCTTATAGAAAATAAAGGAATGTGAAATTTAATTTAAAAATTACTTTAGCACAGTATATTTATATTCGCTGAGGCTTCTCTTAACCCAGGAATTAATCGACGAAATCGCCCTAATCCTTTCCATAACAGTCGTTTGATTAACATTACTTTAACATTGC